GTAAACCTTATTTTTCTCAGTTAAATTAGAATAACTGAGGTTTTTCTTTGTTTTTGTAAAGACTGAAGGTAGTCAGTCTAATCTGTCCTGTTTGTCCATGCCAGATAGCTGAGTGGCATTTTTTTTTCATCTCAAGGGATGACTGAGAATGGGAGTGAGTAGAACATTCAGAGGGGTTGACAGGTGTTCTGTGGGCAAGGTACAGGAGCCAGAGCTATCTTTTGAGGTTTCCAGTTGATCTTTCGGTAAGGTTAAGGGGAAAGGCTATCAAATTGAGGTCAGAGCTATTTGACAGGGGATGACAGACCCACAGTGTTATCTAAGATGCTTGCAACACTTTGGGAGAGTTGCATCAAGGCATTTTCCTTGGGAACAAAGAAAGGCTCCAGGGGCAATTATGAAAGACAAAATATGATTAATCTTCCTAACACTCCTCCTAAAACCCCGGGTTTGTGGTGCCTCTCCTCAGGTGCTTGGGTTATTGCTCTCTATTCACCTCTACAAAATCAGTGTGTTCATTCCAGTAGCTATAAACGTACCTCTTTCCCAACCATTTTCTGTGCACACCCACATCTTTTGTCCAGAGGGTAAGGTATAAGATGGACAATCACATTTTAATAAAACTTACAGAGATCCTTTGTTCTCCACTTGGACCTGCACAGGCTATTGTAGGAGGACTCGGTGAGCGGTGTACTCAACCAACTGTTCATTATCCTTATGATCTAAGACCGTGTCAGTCCAACAAGAGAATACAGCTGGCTGAGCCAGAATTAAGTTTGAATCCCTAGACCCCCTTTGGGCCAGGCTGCCACGTGGAGGGCGTACCAACCCAGCTGGCCTAGTGTTGCCATTAGGGAAAAGAACAACATCATGCACCCAAATGGTCATGGTGGAATTCCAAATATTTAAAATACTTCTGTATATCCCTCTACATATTTCACCCAGCACACAACCCAGAAAGTGTCTGAGAGGCGATCATTCCTTTCTGAAGAGAGCTGCATTCAGTGACAAAACTGCTTTACTAAATTGTGTGAACAAGGAGGAGGTGAGTGAGATAGAGTCAGAAACCTTTTTTTTTAATTAAACTTTTAATTTTGAGATAATTATAGGTGCACATACAATTGTAAGAAATACTACAGAGAGATCTTCTGTAACCTTTAACTAATCTTCTCCAATGGTAATATTTTGCAACATTATAGTACACTATCCCAACAATAGCCCATGGATACAGTCAAGCTACAGAATCTTTCCATCACCACAAGGATCCTTTTTTTTTCTTTTTAAAGATTTTATTGGGGAATTGGGGAAGGGGAACAGTGTTGGGAATTGGGGAATGGGAACAGCCAAGTTGTTGTCCTTCAGTCTTAGTTGTGGAGGGCGCAGCTAGCTCAGCTCCAAGCCCAGTCGTCATCTGGCCACCCATCAGCAGCTTGCAGCCACTCAGCTCAAGGTGCTGTGTTCAATCTCAGTTGCTGGTGGATGTAGCCCACCATCCCATGCAGGAGTCAACTGGCAACCTTGTTGTTAGGAGCACTTGCTCTCACCAGCTGAGCCATTCTGCCACCTGTTGGCAGCTCAGCGGCAGCTCAGATTGGGCAGAGCTCCCTGGCCCATGTGGGACTCAAACCCGTGACCCTGTTGCTCAGAGCTTGTGCTCTTAATCAACTGAGCCACTCGGCCGGCCCACAAGGATCCCTTCTGTTGCCTTTTTATAGTCACACTCATTTCCCTCCCACCCCACTACCTCCTTAACCCCTGGCAACCATGAATCTATTCTCCATTTCTATAATTTTCTCATTGCAAGGATGTATAAATAGAATAACAAAGTATGTATGGAACGCATCTAGTCTTTCACATTAAATGTAATGTTAGCTGTAGGTTTTTGTAGGTGTTGTTTGTGAAATTATGGAAATTTCCCTCTATTCCTATTTTTCTGAGCATTTTTACGGTGTTGAATTTTGTCAAATGCTTGCTCTATATCAGTTGATAATGTTTGTGTGTGATTTTTCTTCTGTAGTCTGTCAATTTCACATTATATTGATTGTTTTTTGAATATTGAACAAGCCTGGTATCCCTGGGAAAAAAACCCACTTGGTTATGGTATAGAATTATTTTTATAAATTGCTGAATTCTGTATGCTAATATTTTGTTAAGGTTTTTTGTTTCTATATTCAGGAGGGATATTGGTGTGCAGTTTTCTTTTCTTGTGATGTGTTTCTTTGGTTGTACATTAGAGTAGCACTGCTTCACAAAGTGAATTGGGAACTATTCTTTCTTATTTTCTGGAAAATATTATTATGTGGAATTAGTGTTAATTCTTCTTTAAACATTTAGTAGAGTTCTGCAGTAAAACCTAAGTGGGCATAGAGATTTCTTTTTTGAGTTTAAAGTATGAATTAAATTTTCTTAATAGTTACAGGGACATTCAAATAATTTATTTAATATTGAGTGAGTTGTGGTAATTTGTGTTTTTCAAGGAACTACTCCATTTCATTTAACTCATATTTATGTGTTGATTTGTTTTCTTATTTTTTTCTTGGTGCCTGAAAGGTCTGTATTGAGATTCCTCATTTCATTCCTGACATTGGTAATATGTGTTCATTTTCTCTCTCCCCCCCCCATCAGTTGTGCTAGCTGTTTGCCAATTATATTGATCTTTTCAAAAACCTAGCTCCTTGTTTTCACTTTGTTATAGTCTTGTGAGGGTGGAAGTCTAAGTTCTTCACTTGGTCTCTGCTGGTGGGAATGTGGGCAGAGCCACAAGTTCTTCTGTAGTGTTTGGCTGGAGTTTAGCTGTTACCATCTAAACTTTGTTTTGTTTTGTTTTTTGTTTTTTTAGTCTCCTCTTTTTTGGTAATTTGGCTAGAGAGAACAGGCTTTTATTGGGCTGTGAGTCTGTGTCAATGAGACAAAAAGAAAACCCAGAGAACTCACCATCACGTCATTCCTTGTGTCCCTAGATTCCTAGCTGATCTACTGTTTTCTACTTATGTTTATTTATATATTAAAGTCAGTATCTTTATTTGTACTATCAGGAGAAATATTAATAGAAAAAAAATTATGTCAACTCCATTTTCTTGCAAGTAGAAACCCCAGAAATCTTTTTTTAGTAGGTTTCTGAGCAAGTTGTTCCAGTGGTCAGTAATACCAGATGCCTGTTAATGGTAATGAGCCTGGAAGGTTGATCACAAACCTTCACCATCAACCCATTGTTTAGTAGCTTTTGTGATAAAAGGTACACTCTTGTCAGATTACAAATGTTCCAGAGAGCCAAACTCTTGATTAATTTCAAGGGCCAACCTCCTTTGTGGGTTTTCTTTGACTGTCAGAGGGATTGAGTGTTGTGAATCCACTCATGATTTCCCAGTTTACTTGATAGCAGGGCCCTATATTTTTGGAAGACATGTGGAAGTGTGATAACATTATAATCAGGGGATAGAGACTGAGGTGTCTGATTAGCCCATTGTGGTAGACAGACTCTAAGGTGGCCTCCCCATGATCTCTACCTCCTGGCTTTTAGAAACTGCAGGAACCTAAGAATAGACTCTAGGAAGTAAGGGCAGCTGCTAGCTGACACACAGAAAGAAGCTGGGGACTCAGCCCTACAGTTGCAAAGAAATGAATCTTGCCAGCAACCTGAGGGAGCTTGGAAGCAGGTTCTTCCCCAGTCAAGCCTCCAGATGAGAACGCAGCGTGACTAACACTCTGATTGCAGCCTTGTGAGATCCTGAGCAGAGGATCCAGTTAAGTCATGTCTAGACTGCTGATCCCTGAAACTGTGCAAAATATATGGTGTTTCAAGCTACTAAATTTGTGATAACCTGTTATATAGATAGCAGTAGGTAACAAATATACCAACCAAGAGGTGATCATCTATGTGGTAAAAGCTTTGGACATCAGAAAGTAGAGGCTTTCACAATAAATTCTGACCCACCCACTCCTGAAAAATGGCGGGTAAATTTATGTACCCATGGTACAGTACTGCAAACATACATTAGAGACCTCTGTGACACGTCAGGAGATGTTTATCTACATCTTGGTAGCCTCATCTGAAAATGAAAATAATTATAATATCTACTTCATAAGGTGATTGTAAGAATTAAATACGGGTCAATGCGGGTCAAGTTGTTTAGTATAGAGCCTGGCACCTTTCATTGTGTGTGGCCCAATGAGTGTGGTTCTTGCCATCTTAATATTTCAATGAGGTCACATTTCGGTAAACATCCTTAAGTTATAATGGCAATTAATTTGCAAATCAACCAACCAGTCAACCCTTCCACAGTTTCCCCAGGATCAAAACATTTTTTAGTGCAGTCCTGTCTAAATTATCACAGAACCAACTAACATTTTTCCTTTTCCTACGACTACCACCACCCAACAACAAAAAATGAAACCAACCAAAGCACTCCTGTAACCATCCCTAGGCTTCTCCGCAGTAAGGAGTTCAATGAAGGATTCATTAAGGCTTTTCCGCCAACAAAAGAATACTGTCCTCAAGGAACAGGCTGTTTAATTTTATAATTCGCTCTCTGGAGAAAGTGGGGAGAATGAAGTCCTGAAGCGTGGCTTGAAGGCCCTGCTGGAGCTTGGGCATCCCGGAGCCCAAGTCCTTTCCACTCAGCACTGCAGGGAATTTAAGCGAGTGCCGGGCGCACCTTAATGCCGTCCCAAGAACAGATTCAAATCATCCTGTTTAAACAAAACAGCCTAACTACCTAAAAGGACGGGCCTAACAGGGGCCTGGGTGCGGAGGGGCCCCCTTTCGGCCCCGGGCCCCTCTCGGGCTCGCCGCCGCTGCCAAGTGCCACATCAGCGCCCGCGCTGCACTTCCAGGTTCCTTAAGAGGATGGAGCGAGCTGGCCCAGCGGGCGGGGGCGGGGGCGGGCCCCAGGAGGCGGGAGTGGCGGGCTGGCGGGCCACTAGGCGGCAAGCGAGGCGCCGCGGCCACCAATGAGCTGGAGCTTCGGGGAGCCGCGGCGGCCGTGGTTTGTGCCCCGCGGGGAGCCAGATGAGGCACATCTGGACAGCTGCGCTGAGGAACTGTGCGGCCCCTTCGCGGGCCGGACTTCTGCTGAGCACGTCCCCCACGTCCTCTCCTAGCCACTTATTATTTATTCATTTCCCCCCCAAAAGCAAAAAAGGATCCAAGTTTTAAACTTCTCCCCCCTGCTAATGCGAGAGGGGGCCAGATCCTATCCAACACAGTTTAATTTTCATGGGGCTCTGGGATCAAAAGAACAGAAACAGCAACAACAAAAGCCCAGCCGCTGTCTGATGTAAAACTGGCAAAGTGGGGAAAATAAAGTGTTGAGTAAACAGACCGAGTTGGGTAAGTTTTGGATACGTGCTGTCTATCGTATTTCTCCTGTTGTGATTTCTGTTCTGTCTTGTTGCTGTTTTCATTAATCTTCCCTTCTTCATCAGGCAAAGAAAAATATTGCTTGCTGCCACAAACGCCACAGACCCTTGGCCTCCTTTTCGTCTGCTTTGCTAAGATTTTAATTAAATTTAACTTTTTGGTCATTTGGATGCTACTTTTAAATTTCCTGGTAATCGAAATTTAACTTATATCCTGTTGTAAGCCTCTCCTACTGATAAATTTAGTTTTCTATTTTCTTTCTGTGAAAGAAAGAGTATACATTTGTAAAGCTAAAATCTTTATACATCTTGCGCTCTCTGTTTTGGTAGAAGATTGAGAAATTTATCTGGCTTATTCACAGTTACGAAGCTTTTGCTTTTTTTAATAGGATGTTTAGTATTAAATTATTTAAAACCTCAATTATATAGGTAATATGCTGTTTCATTTAATTTGAACGTAGTTGTAACCCAAATGTATCTTTTCTATATTCTTCTATCCGTGGTGGGAGGCCCAAATTCCTTTTTGGTTGTTAAAAAAATACCTTAAACATGTGACAGACAACTAACTGTGTGCATCAATAACCTATACTGTAGTTATATATTAATCTTACAAATCTATCAAAATAATATTCAGAATGATTGTTAGATATGTATGCTTGCTGATAGTTCTTGTATATATTTCAGGATTTAGAAATGGAAATGGTGGCAAATATTGAGCTAGGTGAATGGCCTGAGGCTCATTCCATGTGAAGCATCTATAATTCTCTCTGTTAAAGCAGTGTTTTGGATTTGAGACTTTGTCATGTATTATTTACTGTCATGACATACCTGGCAAGAATTGATCTATAATTTCTGGTTCAGAAAGCAGTAGGTGAGAATTTTTGAAGCAGTAGGTGCCATAATTGCAAGTTACAGAGCATGTTTTTGATTCAGAAAGGGGATGCCTCCAGCGGGTAGAACCATTGAAATGTTTTTCCGGGATGCAGGGTTAGAAGGAGCAGTGTTGTAGAGAAACAATATACAGGGCCAGCTGGCCTGGTTTAATTCATAGCCACACTGTTTGACATTGGGCAAGTTACTCAGCCCATCCATGCCTCAGTTTCTGCCTCTGTAATGTGAAGATAATAGCAGCATCCACCTTGTGGGGTTGTCTTGAGGACTAAGTGAGTTAACATATGTTAAACACTTAGAATAATTCTGACACATAGTCAGCCTTTGCTGTTGTACTAACTCTTCTTTGCCTTTCTTTCTAGCTTCCTGTGCTGCATGTCAGTTTCCCAGCCACCATTCTGACCTCTGTGCTGGCAACCAGGGTTTACTGAGCACTGACCACTTGTTAGTGATGCACTGGATAAGGCTGTGAAGGAGAGAGAGTCTTGAGAGGGGAGTGAGGTAGAATTTATCAAATGCCTTAGAAAGGTCTAGAAGGTTATGGGAGTGCAGAGGATGGAAAAAGGACATCTTATTGTAGGATGGCTTCATGGAAGGGTTGGCATTTCTGGGAAAAGATGTGCCAAACAGTTTTAATGAGGGGAGCGGTATTATAGAACAACAGCTGGTAGGCATTCTAGGAGGAAGGGAAAACCTGGGTGAAGCTCTGAGGCTGGGTAGTGTGGCTCTATCTTCGCAGACATTGGGTTGTGATGCAGGATAACCTGTGAAGGTTAGTGGGCAGAGAGGTTGGAAAGATGAGAAAGGTGGGAGAGGATGGCATGGAGAACCCAAAGGGGAAGGAGAGGCTTGGGAGATAGGTTGGTGGGGGGTGGCAAGCTGAATTGGCAGCAGTTACATAGTGGCATGTTTCTGGAATGATCAATCTCTGGAGTCTGGTCTCCACCTCTTGCCAGCATACTCTCCCCATCTGCTCCACTGCTTCTGTGATCTGCCTTCAGGCCGGCAGGCTATGTAGGCAGAGCTGACCAATGAGTCTGGGCCCCACTTTTGGACTCACTCTGTGGTGGCTGTCTCACAGCTCTGCTGAAGTGGTCTGTCATTCTGAACTATTACCCAGGCTACTTTTCAGAAACAGGCTGCGTCCTTAAGTCTTTGACATGGATGATTGTTTCACCCCTCCCCTGCCCCCAAACCACACAGTGTTTGCAGAATAGCTGTTTCTCATTCTGCTGAGAGAATCGTCTATTCACACGTTAATACTTATAACTTCATAATTTCCAGTTACTGAAGTAGATAAGACTTGTAATATGCACCTAAGTGGATAGTTAGTTTGGTGATCTCTTGCTTGCTGTTCCTCCAGGGCATTGAGCTGTATCACACAGAACTTGAGTCTGGCCCTGATGTGGCTGATGGCCACCTGTGTGACCTCAGGCAAGACACTGAGCTATTATGGCCTTCTCTGTGCCATCATCTTGTAAAATGATCTCTAAGGTCCCTTCTCCCTTGGATGATCTTTTGTTCTTCTCCCTCCATCTCTGGGATAGCCTGTTGCTTACCGGTGGCTATTTGATACATCTATGGGTAACATTTTCTCACCGCTTAATTTATGGCCGACAATGTTCTGAGTGCTTTACATGTGTCTTAGCACATGTAAGCCTCTCAACAAACCGGTGAGCATTGGTACCTGAGGAGACAGAGGCACAGGCAGATTAAGAAGTTTGCCCAAGGTCACACAATGGCAGATGCAGACACAGACAGTGTTATGCCAGAGCCTAAGCCTTAACCACTAGTGTCCACTGCCTTAGGTTTAATACAGCAGGGCTGCACTTTTTGCTTGTGGTGGTGGTAGTCAAGAAGTTCATGGAAGGAGGGTCATTGGAGGAAGCGAGTTGGTAAAATTTCCCAGAATACCAACATGAGCGGATTGATGGGATGTGCTACACATGGAGACAGGAGACATTTTATTTATTAGATGGAGCTCATTGCAGATAAGCACTGTCTTTTCATCTTGTTTGAACAGAACGACCATAGTCCCTGGACTCATAGTAGACATTCGGTAAATGTCAGTTGAGTGTTTGTCTCCTTTGAAAAACTGAAACAGAGTGTATGAGTCAAAAGTAATGGTTTCCCCTTTATGTGTCTACCTGCTTTCTTCCCATTCTACTACTCTCTATTAACCTTTGTTTGGTCAACATCCTCCCAGCCCTTCTCCAAGAGTCCACTCACAGGTAAAGAGCTAAACATAAATGTAATTAAAAATATAAATAGGACCACAGTGTTTTTATTTTAAAAAACAGAGTAACTATGAAATGTCCCCAGGCCTGTGGAAAAATGGGGCAGATGCCAGGTACACATTCAACTCCTATTTTTTGGGCATTTTTGTTTCTTGTCTTATTTCTGGAGATGCCGTGGTTTTGGGATAAGAACGTCTCAGGGTAAAGGATCAATGTAGGGTTCTTTTAGGTGACCCATTATTAATCATACCCGGCCTGGATTTCACATCTTTTAGGGAATTCATTATTGAAAATTTTAATGTATTTAATTCACTTTAAAATATTATTTGAAAAATATTTTCATTTGCTTTTTATCTCATCACCTTAATGTAGTCACTCTTTTTAGTATAACACACTAAGCACATGGACTTTGGAGTTAGACTGTGATCGTTTCAATCCCAGATCTTCTTACTAGCGTACCTTGAGCAAGTCACTTTTTCTAGGAGGCTTTATTATCTGTAAAATGGGCATATCAATAGGCATTAAATGAGAAAATCAATATAAATTATTTAGCATAGTATCTGAATCACAGTAAAGCCTATACATGTTAGTACGTCATTATTTTTATGGTGGTAAAATATAATATGAAATTTGGCATTTTAACCATTTCTAATTGTGTAGTTCAGTGGTGTTATGTACATTCATACTGTTGTGCAATGATCACCACTATCTATTTTCAGAACTTTTCCATCAAACTTAAACTTCGTACTCATTAAATAATAACTCTACTACCCTTGCTGTCAGCCTCTGGCAACCGCCATTCTACTTTCCGTTTCTGTGAATTTGACTACTTAATGTGCCTCATAGAAGTGGAGTTATACAATATTTGTCCTTTTATGACTGGCTTATTTCACTTACCATGTTTTCAGTGTTCATCCATATTGTAGCATGTGTCAGAATTTCATTATAGTCATACATCACTTAGAGCTGGGGATAAATTCTGAGAAATGCTGGTTAGACATTTTCGTTGTGTGAACATAGAGTGCACTTACACAAACCTGAGTGGGATAGCCTACTACATGCCTAGGCTACAAATCTGTACAGTGTATTACAGTACTGAATATTGTAGGCAATTATAACACAATGGCAAGGATTTGTGTATCTAAACATAGAAAAGGTATAGTAAAAATTGTGTACACGCATGTGCCAGAATGCCTTGTGGAGAGGAGGAGGAGGTCTGTGGAGGGAGGGGCCATCTGAGTGAGAGCAGAGCTCAGGAGGAGGGAGGGAAGAAGGGAGAGAGGAAAGGGAGAGAAGGGGAGAGAAAGGGAGAGCAGCAAGGAAGGGACCCAGAGAGATAAAACTTGAGATGAGAAAAAATAAAAGGGAAAGGGATGAGGGAGAGAGGGAGAGAGGAATAGGCCTGGGAGGCAGGAGCTAAAGAGAAACTGAGGGAGGGAAGTGAGTTTTGTGTGCACCATGCAGACTCCCCAGCCCTCTCACCAATTCCAGGCCGAGCCCCGGAGTAGACACAGGGCAGACAGACAGGATGCTGAGCCTCCTCATTGATTTAAGCCACCCAGAGCTAGCAGTAAGGTCAACATCTTACTTGGGTCCAGCCTTTTCTTTCAGCATCACAAATAAACGTTTTGCTTATAGTCCCTTTTAATCTTATGGGACCACTGTCGAATATGTGGTCCGTTGTTGACGGAAACATCATTATGTGGTGTGTGACTATACTTTTGAAGGCTGAATAATATTCCATTGTATATGTTCACCTGCTGATAGACATTTGGGGTGTTTCCATCTGTGATGGTTAATTTTTGTGTCAGCTTGACTAGGCCACAGTACCCAGATATTTGGTGAAATGTTATTCTAGTTATTTCCATGAAGGTATTTTTTAGACGAGATTAACATTTAAATTAGTAGACTTTAAGTAAAGCAGATTACTCTCCATAATGTGGGTGGGCCTTCTCCCATCATTTGAAGGTCTCAATGGAAAAAGACTGATCTCCCTTGAAGTAGAGGGAATCCTGCCAACTGACGGCCTTTGGACTTGAACTGCAGCATCAGCTCTTCCCTGGGTTCCCAGCCCGTTGGCTTACCCTGAAGATTTTGGACTTGCCAGATTACAGTCATGTGAGCCAGTTCCTAAAATCAATTTCTCTCTCTCTATATATATATATCCTATGGTTTATTTCTCTAGAGAACCTGACTGATACACTATCTTTTGTCTATTGTGAATAATGCTGCTATGGCCATTGGTATACAAATGTCGTTTGGAATTTCCACTTTCAGTACTTTTGGGTACATACCCAGAAATGGAATTGAAGGGGACTATAAAGTAATTCAATTTTTCATTTTTTGAGGAATTGCCATACTGTTTTCCATACTGCATCACTTTACATTCCCTTCTGCAATGCACAAGTGTTCCAGTTTCTTCACATCCTTGCCAACACTTGTTGTTCTATTTTTGTTTTTTTTTTAATAATAGCCATCCTTGGCCTTTTGAGCATTATGAGCCTTGCCTCTGCTAGCGGCCTGCTCCAAACTCTTTGGAGTGTACTTTCTCTCCTAATAATGACTCCCTGGCCCTGGCCCTGGGCCCCCTTGGGCCTTTTCAGCTTTCTTTGCTCGGCCCGCTCCAAACTCGGAGTGTACTTTTTCCTAATAATGGCCCTTGAGCCATTCTCTGCTTTTTCTCCCACTTCTGCTTCTTCGAAATATATTTTTACTTCTAATAAACTCCTTTTCTGCCACTTAAAAAAATAATAATAGCCATCCTTGTGGGTATGAAGTGATATCTCATTGTGGTTTTGATTTGCATTTCCCTAATGATTAGTGATGTTGAGCATCTTTTCTTGAGCTTATTGGTCATTTGTTTATCTTCTTTGGAGGAATGTCTATTGAAGTCTTTTGCTCATTCTTTTTTTAAGATTTTATTGTGGAATTAGGGGAGGAGAACAGTGTTGGGGAATTGAGGAAGGGGAACAGACAAATTGTTGTTCTTCAATCTTCATTGTGGAGGGCGCCAGTTGGCAGCTCATGGCCTCTAAGCTCAAGGTGCTATGTTCAATCTTAGTTGTGGGTGGGCGTAGCCAGCATCCCATGTGGGAGTTGAACCAGCAGCCTTGTTAAGAGTGCATGATCTAGTCACTGAGCCATCCGGGCAGCAGCTCAGCTCAAGATGCCGAATTCAGTCTTAGTTGCGGGTGGGCATAGCCACCATCCCGTGCGGGAGTTGAACCTGACAGCCTTGTTGTTAAGAGCGCACACTCTATCCACTGAGACATCTGGACGGCAGCTCAATCCTTTCTTCCTTGCTTTCTAGAGCAAAGTTTGCTGTCCTCTATGGCTTTGTTTTTTCCCCTTTCTTATAAAAAGTGGCCAGCACTTTCCATGGCAAGGAAGTGAGTGGTGTGTCCTCACCTTTCTCCATGGTGCCTAAAATTCTATAGCTCCATATGTATATATATAATTTTACTGAATTCCCCTTAATAGATGAGAAAATGGATTTTTTAGAAAAGTAGTATTATACGCTTAAAGAAATTGATGTTCAGAAAGGTAAGTGCTGTTATTTGTCTAGTAAATGAGGAGTATGAAAATTTATCTGATAGTGGTGTTCTTTTCATTAAACATTTCTGCTGCCTTCAAAAGACAGCACACTAGCCTTGAGAATTCTCATCTTGTACCAGGGTACATAACTGCAGTTGTGCAGCTGAATCACCTGGGGAGCTATTAAAAAAAACCACGCCTGCTCTTGTCCCTCTCCTGGAGATTTTTTTCAACAGGTGTGGAACGAGGCCAGGCATCTGTGAAAAGCTTCCAGGAGCAACCTGATGCTTGGTCCAGATTTAGCCTAGTGGGAGTGTCCCAGCCAAAGGTAATAAACCTTACAGGTAGTCTGGGATCCTTCATTCCCAATGCTCAAAACTGTCCCAAGCAGTCACAGTTGGAGAAAAGCTCTTCATAGGTCATAATTAAAAAAGCATGTGTGACGATTGATGTTAACAAGATTTATTGTGGTGATCATTTCACAAAATATACATATGTTGAACCATTATGTTGTATACCTGAAACTAATATAATGTTATGTGTCAATTATATCTCAATTAAAAAAATCAGCAACAAATAAATTGTATGGGAACCTCTTCTTGGGGATGTTTGCAGTGGTTCCCTTTTCATCTTATGACCTCATTCCCATGAAAACTCACTTCTTTAAGCTGAAAGGTAAACTCTTTCTCACCAAATTATGTCGTGCTTCCATTAACTTCACTTTTCTCAGAGCCAAAGTTCCCTCAGTGCTGTAGGTATTTCCTGGTAGTAACTTAGGTGTTTAAGAGGCATCTGAATTCCTTCCTAATGACCTGAAAGTATAATTGGTTCATTTTATGACTTGAGTCAACAACTAGGGTGGCCAAATAGACCCAGTTCCTTGTGCAGAGAGACAATGCCTGTCTCTGGCCCAGGGTCTACCACCAGTTACATTTTCAGTGAAAGGTATTATATTTAATTTGTCATAAATTTAATAGAAGAAAAAACCAAGTGAAATGTAAGGAATTTCTGAATTTCAGGTGGTAAATTTTTTTTTAAGAGGGTCAATTTTTAAAAATATATTTAAAAAAAATTTTCCATTATAGTGCACATACAATATTATATTAGCTTCAGGTGTACAACATAGTGATTAGACATTTATATAAATTATGAAATGATTCCCACAATAAATCTATCTGACACCAATACATAGTTATTACAATATAATTGACTATATTTCTTATGCTATACCCTACATCCCCATGACTATTTTGTAGCTACTAATTTGTACTTCTTAACACCCCCACACCCTTTGCCCATCCCTCCAACCCCTACCTTCCCGCCCCACCTGGCAACCATTAAAATGTTCTCTGTATATATGAGTCTGTTTCTAGTCTGATTGTTTGTTTATTTTGTTCTTTACATTCCACGTATAAGTGAAAACATAGCATTTGCCTTTCTCTGTCTGACTTACTCCACTCAGTACAATACCCTGTAGGTTCATCTAAGGTTATTACAGATGGCAAGATTTCATTCTTTTTATGACTGGGTAGTATTCCATTGTATGTATGTACCACCTCTTCTTTTCCATTCATCTACTGATGAACAGACACCCAGGTTGCCTCCATATCTTGGCTACTATAAATAATGCTGCAATAAACATATATGGAAGTACATGTCCCTTTGAAGTAGTGGTTTGGGTTTCTTTGGATAAATACCCAGAAATGGGATTAGTGGGTCCTTTGTCTTTTGTTATAGCCTTTATTTTAAAGTCTATTTTGTCTGATGTAAGTATTGCTACTCCAGCTTTTTGTTTATTTTCATTTCCATTTCCATGAAATATCTTTTTCTATTCCTTTACTTTCAGTCTGTATGGGTCTTTGAATCTGAAGTGAGTGTCCTGTAGGAAGCATATGTAAGGGTTTTGTTTTCTTATCCATTCAGCCACCCTATGTCTTTTGTTTGGAGCATTTAATCCATTTACATTTAAATTAATTATTGATAGATACATAGATATTGCCATTTTATTTATTTATTTATTTTAAAGATTTTTATTGGGGAATTGGGGGAAGGGGAACAGACAAGTTGCTGTCGTTTTGTTCTTCAGTCTAGTTGTGGAGGACGTTGCTTCACTGGCCCAAGTTGGCACCATCATTGTGCTCTTCCCGGGTGAGGCAGATCAGTCGCTGGCTTCTGGACGGCCGCTCACGGCGGCTGCTGGCTACACACGGTAGCCCATGGCAACCCACTGCAGCAGGGGCTGCAGCCTACGCTGTTACCTGCGACTCACGGCAGCCCCACTCCAGGTTGAGCTGTTGTTCAGCATCTTAGCTGTGGAGGGCAGTGTCACTGGCCCTCATATGTGGGATCCGAACCAGGGCCCTCTGGCGTCCCAAGCCAGCTCTTAACCATCGCGCCACTTGGCCGGCCTGATATTGCCATTTTATTATTCATATTTTTTATCTCCCCTCTTCTTCTTCTCTTCCTTCTCCTTCTCCTTCTCTTTCTCCTTCTTTTCACCTTAATATTTTTTGTAATATTGGTTTTGTGGTGATGAACTCCTTTAGCTTTTTCTTGTTTGGGAAGCTCTTTAGCTCTCCTTCAATTTTAAATGATTGATTTGCTGGGTAGAGTAATCTTGGATGTAACTCCTTGCTTTCCATCACTTTGAATATTTTGTGCCAATCCTTCTTGGCCTGCAAAGTTTCTGTTGAGGAATCAGCTGACAGTGTTATGGGAGCTTCCTTGTAAGTAATTAACTGCCTTTTTCTTGTCGCTGATTCTCTTTTTATCTTTAACTTTTGGTGTTTTAATTATTATGCATCTTGGTGTGGGCCTCTTTGGGTTCATCTTGTTTGGAACTCTCTGCACTTCCTGAGCATGTATGTCTATTTCCTTCACCAGGTTAAGGTAGTTTTCTGTCATCTTTTCAAATAGGTTTTCAATTCTTTGCTCTCTCTCTTTTCCTTCTGGTACCCCTATGATATGAATGCTGGTACACTTGATCTTGTCCTAGAGGCCCCTTATACTGTCCTCATTTTTTTTTTTGATTCCTTTTTTTTTTTTTTTGCTGTTCTGATTGGGTGTTTTCTGTTACGTTATCTTCCAAATTGCTGATTTGAACCTCTGTTTCATGTAACCTATTGTTTATTCCCTCTAATGTATTCTTTATTTCAGTTATTGTATTCTTCATTTTGACTGGTTCTTTTTTATGGTTTCTAGCTCTATTTTTATGTTGCCTATCTTTTTGTTGAAGCTTTCACTGAGATCATTGAGCATCCTTATAACCAGTGTTTTGAACTCTGCATCTGGAGATTACTTCTCTCCATTTTGTTTAATTCTTTTTCTGGAGCTTTGTTCTGTTCTTTCATTTGGGCACGTTTCTTTGTCTCCCCATTTTGGCTGCCTGCCTATGTTTGTTTCTATATATTAGGTAGAGCTGCTACATCTCCCAGTCTTAGTAGAATGGCCTTATGTAGTAGGTGTGCTGTGGGGCCCAGTGGCATAGTAACACTGGTCACCTGAGCTGGGTGCTACAAGTATGTCCCTTGTGTGGGTTATGTGTGCCCTCCTGTTGTAGTGGAGCCTTGGTTGGTATTTGCACA